CTTTCATCGGCTTTCTGTTATAGTAAACCAGAAGCAATGACCTGACATCGCTTCCCATTTACTTAGAAAAAAAAAAAACGGCACCATTTAAAAAAAAAAAAAAAGTATTAAAAAAACTGATCTTGTTTTCAATGCTTTAAAGTGCAAAGGAGTGATTTGGGATCTTATAGACCCCAGATTCCTCCGTAAAGAGTACCTGTCACGTGCCTATTGCTATCACATTCTTTGTGGCAGCAATAAAAGTGATTAAAAAAAAAAAAGTAAAGTGACCCCCCATGCTCGTGTGCAAAGGCGAATGCACACGCCGGTTCCACACACACGCAAACAGCAATCGTCTCATACATGTGAGATATCACTGTGAACGTCAGATCATGGGCAATAATTCTAGCACCAGATCTCCTCTGTCAATCTAAAGTGGTAACCTGTAAAGGCTTTAAATCCTCGCCTATGAATAGTAAAACGTACATTGTTTGTTGCTGTTGTGCAGGAGTGTGTAGTGTTAAAGCGTGACATGCTCAATATCTAATTACTCGGTTTAACATCATCTTTTATATTTTACAAAACAATTGGGTTTTTTTGTGCTTTTTTTTGCGCTAAAATGTAAAAAAACAAAATTGAGTTTGCAAACCGCTGACTGAATACCGTGTGACATAAAAAAATGCAAAATCAACCAATTTATTATCTAGGGCCTCTGCTTTAAAAAAAAAAAAAAAAAAAAATTATAATGTTTGGGGGCTGTAGGACATTTTCTAGTAAAAAATACAGATTTTTAACATGTAAACAAAAAGTGCCAGAAATGGCCTGGAGCTGAAGTGATTATAGTCCAAACACTACAACTATCCAGATATGTGAGCAGTCTTGGAGTGATGGTTAATAAGTAGTGTAAAGTCTGAAATACTTATCCTCCTGGAGAAAATGCTGGTCTGGCTTTCCCCCTGTGCTTATCACATCAGCAAAAGCCTAGGCACTGCATCACATGATCTCTGCTGATAGAGGGAATCATTCTTTTCTGCACCGTACACTAAGATTATAATATCAGTCACAGATCAAAGACAGAAACTGCACTAAAGTGCTGCTTTACTTGAAGGGAATTTGTAATGAAATACACTTGGTTTGCAAGGTGGAAATTCACAGCATACAATCCCATGTTATTTTATAGATCAGTCATGCAAAGGAGCCTCCAGAGAAGCAGCTCAACTCCTCTCCGATTTGAGATCCACCCTAAACACAGTTACCCAGTTCCAGCTTTGGGCTGTCTCCTGAGCTCCAATCCAGCTCCAGGCCTTAAAGCCATCTCCAACGCTCCAGGCTGCCTCCAACTGTTCAATAAACCTAAAACTTGATGCGTTTGCATTTATTCTTCATTGAGATTAGTTGCAAGGCTGCCCTCTACTGGCCAAAATATAATATGCAAATAACCTGATCCCTGTCCTTTATGATCTAACATCACGTGTGTCGAGCACAAGGCTCATGGGCCGAAACTGGCCTGCCAGGCCATTTCATGTGGCCCTTGCACCTTTACTGCAACTGCAGCACCCCCCTTGTCTCCCTACCACCACCCGGAACAGGATGGATGAGGTAAAGGTATCTGATCTAGCCTGCCCATGCTGTCCGCAGTAAATGTACTATGGGCGGTCTGGAAGTGGTTAAAATGAAAATGACTGACCCTCCATCGGTGAATGTTTGTAAAAGTCCCATTCACTGCTTTATACATGTACCCCAAAATGATAAATTTTACCCAAACAGATACAATTATATAACAAGTACAGTGCAGGGGCGGACTGACCATTTGGAAACTCAGGCACTGCCCAAGGGCCCGGGGTCAGTAGAGGGCCCCATGAGATGCCCTTGGTACCTTTTTCATAGGCTTTTTTGAGTTTGGGCAAGGATACAGGGGCCCCATGATCCCCTATTGCCCGGGGGCCCCATGAGTTGACAGTCCGCCCCTGGTACAATATACTACCAATACCTAAACAGCTAATATAGTCCCCTTCGCCTGGCATAGAGCTGGATTGGCCTGGGAATCAGACAAGTCCTGTAAGGAGAGCTGAAAGGAGAAGTCCTTTTGGTCACGATTCCGAGTCTCTATTTGAGGAATCAATATCATTGCTACTATATCAGTAGCTTTCTGGATCCACAAGAGGACCAACACAAGGAATCGGCAAGGGACCGGCAATTTCAGTTGGGCATCATAGAGCTGAATCTTTGGTTCCACCCACCCAGAAAAAGCAGTGAGAAAACTAGAGGGAGGACTTATGAGTATTTCTGGCTTTACAAGAGCAGTTCGATGTGAGGAATTTGTTTGGGTGAGCCCGCAGCCGTCCATATCCTTTGATATTGCTAGCATGGATGTCAGTGTGGAATCTGAACACCGTCTGCTTGTTTGATCTCTTGATTGGAGATCAATGTGTCTGGTAAGAGGCTGATCTGTCAGTTGTGGCGAGCACTTGTGGACACCATAGCACTTTGTTGGAAGAATTTTTTCAGCACACAGCACTTTCATATTGGATTTGGGACTTTTTGCTAATTTACATTATGTACATGGACTTTTTAGCACTTTAGATGCATTTTTTCCACATTTTGTATATACACATTTATTTATGGTCTATTTTTGATATATTGTGTTTAGCTATTGTGTTAGATTGGTTTAGTGTAAAGCGCAATCATTTATTTTTTGTTTTTTTCATTTTCTGGTATTCAGGAAGAGAGTAGCAGCAGTTCACTTTATTTATTCATTTATTAATTCATTGCTATTTATATCATATTTTGTCATTTTTATTATTTGTTGGGTGTAGCGCAGGTTTTCTCTTTTCACATAGAGCTGGATTGCATATACCACTGAAATATAAAACAATGCATAGAGATTTGCACTACAGGAATTGCTATATTAGATTTATTGTGTACGTTATGTATTTATACTACAATGTTATTTCTTGTTCCTTAGATAGTTCACATTGAATAATAAACCTTTATAGTCTGCTATTAAATTCTCATCTGAATCAAACAAACTGCTGCTCATACACCCGGCATTTTTTTACTTCTTCAAACCACTTTCAACCAGCTTCCAAATGCAAAAACTTAGTTCTACTGTGGAGGGCAGTCACTCAAAGTATGAGTTTGTTTGCAAATATATGCACGGGGTTGATTTGGGAAAACTGTCAAAAATAAAACAAAGAATACGTATATTGCTTGCCAGCAGTAACAGATGTTTCTATTTTCTGAACTAGACAGACTTGTGTCATTTTTCAACCTAACTAATTAATTTGATAAAACCAGGTAGGTCACTATCCTCAAAGCAGTGGTCCCCAAAGGACAGTCCCTTGCTTGCCTTTTACTGGCCCTAGGGGTCACTATTCCTTTCATTGATATCAACAACAGGCACTATTCCTCACATTGACAATAGGGTACGATTCCTCCCGGTGATACCAATGATGGGGCACTATTCCTCCCACTGATACCAATGATGAGGCACTATTCCTCCCACTGATACCAATGATGGGGCACTATTCCTCCCACTGATACCAATGATGGGGCACTATTCCTCCCAGTGATACCAATGATGGGACACTATTCCTTCCACTAATACCAATGATGGGACACTATTCCTCCCACTGATACCAATGATGGGGCACTATTCCTCCCACTGATACCAATGATGGGGCACTATTCCTCCCACTGATACCAATGATGGGGCACTATTCCTCCCACTAATACCAATGATGGGGCACTATTCCTCCCACTGATACCAATGATGGGGCACTATTCCTCCCACTAATACCAATGATGGGGCACTATTCCTCCCACTAATACCAATGATGGGGCACTATTCCTCCCACTGATACCAATGATGGGGCACTATTCCTCCCACTGATACTAATGATGGGGCACTATTCCTCCCACTGATACCAATGATGGGGCACTATTCCTCCCACTGATACCAATGATGGGGCACTATTCCTCCCACTGATACCAATGATGAGGCACTATTCCTCCCACTGATACCAATGATGGGGCACTATTCCTCCCACTGATACCAATGATGGGGCACTATTCCTCCCACTGATACCAATGATGGGGCACTATTCCTTCCACTGACACCAATGATGGGGCACTATTCCTCCCACTGGTACCAATGATGAGGCACTATTCCTCCCACTTATACCAATGATGGGGCACTATTCCTCCCACTGATACCAATGATGGGGCACTATTCCTACCACTGATTCCAATGATGGGGCACTATTCCTCCCACTGATACCAATGATGGGGCACTATTCCTCCCACTGATACCAATGATGGGGCTCTATTCCTCCCACTGATACCAATGATGGGGCACTATTCCTCCCACTGACACCAATGATGGGGCACTATTCCTCCCACTGATACCAATGATGGGGCACTATTCCCCCCACTGATACCAATGATGGGGCACTATTCCCCCCACTGATACCAATGATGGGGCACTATTCATCCCACCAATCATGAAGCAACTGAAACCAACAATGGGTCTTTTTTCCTGAAACTATCAGAGACTTCTGAAAATATTACTTGCCTGGCAATCTCTGGTTTTGCGGCTTGCTATGGTGGTTCTAATAAAACTAGAGCATACGAAATCTGGTGCAGCTCTGCATAGAAACCAATCAGCTTCCAGTTTTTATTGCCAAAGCTTAATTGAACAAGCTGAAGTAAGAAGCTGATTGGCTACCATGCACAGCTTCACCAGATTTAGTAAATCACCCTGTATGTCTCCAGCTCAAAATCAGCATGTAACCAGCGAAGCCAGAACTCCTGATCAATAAACCTTCTCTGGGTCAGTGCCTTAGAAAGCTTTGAAGCAGTGGATCAGCATGATAACTATACACACTGAATACATGTAGACAGTAACAACACATCATCAGGTTGGATTGTACATCTGCAGTGAAGTGTGTATGCCCATGTGCAAAAAGCCATAAAGGTAACAAACTACATCAGCCCAATATGGCCGTATAGGATCTACCTACCCAGGAAGACAAACCCATCAGACTCTTTGTCCTGTGCCGGGCTCTTCTTAGTGTCTTGACTTTTCCTGAAGAAGCTGAACATCTCTGGGATGTTATAATGGCCTCTTATCTACAGTGAAAGGGAAAGGAAGGCTGTTATTTCTCTTCCATGTTAGTAAAAAATTTTCAAAAGCCAGACAGTGGGAGCCACTAAGGCAGGGGTAGGCAACCTTAACTCCTTTGTGCCTAAGGTTAAAACAAATGTTAATGCCTAAGCAGAATTTTGCAACTTTGACATGTGTTAGTAAATCCGTCCATATCATCACAACTTTAAAAAAATTTATATTTTAAAAAATTAGCTGTATGTTTCTTGCTATTACCACAACCTACCACCAAAGAGCAACCCAAAATAAATTCTCCTACTCCTAACTATTGCAGAGATACCACATATGTGTATGTTAGTTGTTGTATGTATCCGTAGTACAGCCCAAAAACAATAGTGCACACTATTTTTCTTTTTTTCCCTACCAAAAACACACTGACATTGATACTAATTAAAAATAAAAAATCCTGCCCAAGCAAATACTGACCCTGACCTTGACCCAAACACTAATCCTGGCAAAGACCTAGATCAAACGTTGATCTAGGTAATTTATTATTATTTTTTTTTATACACACTGTTGATTTTTTTTTTCTCTGAAAGGAGAGAGAGAGAGAGAGAGAGAGAGAGAGAGAGAGAGAGAGAGAGAGAGAGAGAGAGAGAGAGAGAGAGAGAGAGAGAGAGAGAGAGAGAGATACAAGGTATCTCTCTCCTCCATTCAGAGAGAGAAAACACGAAACACGGGGACAGTGACTGATTACTATTGATAGCTAATGAGAGGCTATCACAACCATCAGATGATCTGAAATGGGAGTTCAGGGTCCTGATCGTTAGTACAGGACCCGGGGCTCTTGGTGAGGCCCCGGTCTCTGTGCTGGGAGTGTGACGCGCGGGGTGCTCCCAGCACAAAGACAGATACGCAAATATGCTGCCCCACAGAAAAAAGCCCAGTTCTGTGGGGCTGCATATTTGTGTACGCTTGGCGGGAAAGGGTTAAAGAGGTGGAGGTCTACCTGAATAACATGGGAGAAGTCAACTTTAAACCTCTAATTGCCCTACTACCATACCGCAATCGCATGCATTACACGGCAATCATGGGTTTAAATCAGGTGCTGAGGAGGCAACATATCACCTTCTCACCACCTGTCAAATGCACTTGGATCACAAGCGACAGTGACACCCTTAGGGCTTGTTCACACATACAGTTGGGGGGGATGGAAAAACCCTGTAGTTGAGTAGTAGTTTAACAGCCTTCAGTGCCTACCCCCTTTAGCAGCTGAGGCAGCAGCCAAAAGGTGTACACATGCCACAGCAGGAATTAAACCCCTATGTTCCTTTTGGTGGGTGCTACCGCCTGCCAGCCACGACCCACTCAAGTTAGATAGGGCCACTCTGCAAGCACCCCGCAACTGTATGCTTCTGCGGGGTCCAAGGGGTTAAAACTTGTATAGAAATACAAAGCACGAAAAACGCACCAAACACACATAAACCTGCCCTAAGCCACGTCTCTGCTCCTCCTCTAATGTGGAAGTGATTGAAAGTAGCTTGTATGTGGCAAGCAAGGTGCTATGAATTATGGGACATGTGGTCCAGAGGAGGCTGATCAGGTTACTTTGAAAGACGTTACGAGTGTGCACTCCCTGAGCGGAAATTTGGGGAAGCTGCACAAAAAAAAAATTAATAATAACTGTGTCAAGTCATTTTAAAAAATATGAGTGCTTCTGGACTTTTTGGGATGGACACATTTATCATTCTGTGCTGAAATGGTCTAAAAAAAAAAAAAAAAAACCACAAAATCTTTAGTACTACAATAAAGTTATCACCATAACAGAAATAAAGGAGAAATCTTCTAATGTGGTCACCTGTTTCAGTGACAACAGTGTCTGAAAGGAGATTTCCCTCAGTTTGGAGAAATTTCCTCCCACTTCCTGTTGTCTCTATAGGAAAGGAAGTAAAGGGAAATCTTCCAAATGGGACAGAGATGGTAAACAAATGTAGGGGGTTTTAACACTTTGTTACAGATTTTTAATTACAAAACAAAATGTTTTTTTTCACCTTCGGATGCAATTAATCAAACAACAAATTTCCTAACTAGAAGATGTCACCGAATAACAAGAATATGTCATCACCAAACCAAAAACAGAGACTTTAATTCAGGCCATAGATGGGGAGAAAAACGGCAGATTTTTCTTTTAAAAAACGAAAATTCGGTCGTTCAAGCGGCCGACGTTGCCATCAATGGTAAAAAAAATCGGCCGATTTTCATCCCTTCTACAGCCAGCAAAAAGTGTCCCTGAAGAGAGCTCTGCTATTTCTGACAGTTCCTTGACATTTACAGCGGTTGAAACATTGTATCTATTTATTTCCATTTAGGATACAGATGTTTTTATTCGGAAACAAATAGATACAATGTTTCAACCGCTGTAAATGTCAAGGAACTGTCAGAAATAGCGGAGCTCTCTGCAGAGACACTTTTTGCTGGACTGGAATTATTCTTATTTTCATCCTACTTCTTCTTCTTCATCCTCATCCTCTTCTTCTTCTTCATCCTCATCCTCTTCTTCTTCTTCATCCTCATCCTCTTCTTCATCCTCATCCTCTTCTTCATCCTCATCCTCTTCTTCATCCTCATCCTCTTCTTCATCCTCATCCTCTTCATCTTCTTCATCCTCATCCTCTTCTTCTTTTTCATCCTCATCCTCTTTCTCATCCTCTTCTTCATCATCATCATCCTCTTCTTCTTCTTTTTCTTCATCATCCTCTTCTTCTTCTTCTTCTTCATCCTCATCCTCTTCTTCTTCTTCATCCTCTTCTTCTTCTTCTTCATCCTCATCCTCTTCTTCTTCATCCTCATCTTCTTCTTCCTCATCCGCATCCTCTTCTTCTTCTTCTTCATCATCCTCATCCTCTTCTTCTTCATCCTCATCCTCTTCTTCTTCATCCTCTTCTTCTTCCTCTTCTTCATCCTCTTCCTCTTCTTCTTTTTCTTCTTTTTGTCTTCCTCTTGCAGGTCACTGCTCATGCGCAGTTTTTTTATCGGTAAAAAAAATCGGCCGATTCGCCCACTAATTGCCGCGAAAATCGGCCGATCGGCAAAATCGGCCGATTTTTTTCCAACTTTACCGAAAAAAAAAACCGGCCAAAATACCGAAAATCGGCCGACCAAATCGCCCACTAACGATCCGAAAATCGGCCGATTTTATTTTCGGCCGAATAATCGGCCGATTTTCGACCCATCTATGGCCTGCATTACCCTTGGGGCACATTTTAACAATATTTACCTGTTTATATTTTCTATCACTGTATATCTGTATCTATTGTTCTATATATCTATTTATTGGCAGTATTTCACAGAACAACCATACAGTCAGTATTTGAACAAAAATACTGATAACTCAAACCTTTTTTTGTCATTTTATTAGTAGATTGATAAGAAAGTGGAGAGAGTCAGGAATGGATTTTGGCTTACTCATCTCAAAATATATTTCTTTGTGATTGGCATTTTCTATATCTATCCATCCATCTATCTATTAATCACGCTATCCATCTATCTAGATGTTTACCTATCTACTTCTATTTAGATGTTTATTATCACTCTATCCATTTACTGTATCTCTTTATCACTATACCTATCTACACTATATTGCCAAAAGTATTGGCTGGCCATACATTATACAATTTTCTTGAGAATTTTGCTTTAGATTTACCAAAAACCATATAATAGGAGGTCAAACCCAAACAACACTTTCAAATGTATCCAATTAGGCCAGCCCTTGCACTACATAGTTGAAGGTAAATCTAAAGGAAATTGTACAGAAATTGTATAGTGTATGGCCAGTCTAACTATATATCTTTTAGGGTTGCACTGATACCGATACTGGTATGGGTGCCGATACTGAGTACTTGCACAAGTACTCGTACGCTTGCAAATGTTCCCAATACTGATACCTTTGCAGTGCAGTTTGAGCCCATACAAAATGAAAGGGCTCAAATCGCACTGCAAAGAATTGCAAGCGGTTTGAACAGGAATGCTTTGCGATTCCTGTCCGAATCGCATGCGGTTTCTTGTACAGCTCCTTTGTGAACCCAAGCTTGGTATAGTGACTTTGAGCCCGAGTTCACACAGAAGCGGTGCGGAAAACCTCCCTGCATAAAGGGTTCCACCAGCTCCGGCTCCCGATCCCACTGTGGACATCAATGGCTGAGGCCTGAGCTCCTCCTGCCTCTCCCATGTGATGGTGCTGACCAATCGTAAGCCATCTAGCCTGTACTGTCAAGCACTGCAAGAAGAGGAGAGAAAGCAGTGGGGATTTCAAATCCTCGGACCAGTGAAACAGTTTTTCTTTCTCTTACAGCAGGGATCGGCAACCTGGTATAGCTGGACCGTGGGGGATGGGGTCCAGTGGACGTCTGGAACCGCTGGAGGCTGAGGGGAGAGAGCCGCTGGAGGCTGGGGTGAGAGAGCCATGGGAGAGGCAGAAGGAGCCCAAGCAGCAGCCATTGATGTCCACAATCGGATCAGGAGCCGGTGGGACCCGTCATGCAGGAGGTTTCCACCACCGCTCTTATGTGAACTCAGGCTCAAAGTCACTATGACAAGCCTGGGTTCACACAGGAGCTGTGCAGGAAACCTTCCTGTATGATGGGTCCCACCAGCTCCGGCTCCTGATCGACTGTGGACATCAACGGCTGCAATTCAGGCAGGAATTGCACCACAGTCTTGTTCAAATCGCATGGAATTCTTTGCAGTGCAATTTGAACCTATTCCTTTTGTATGTGGCCAAATCGCACTGGAAAGATATTGGTACTCGAGATCAGTGAGTACTTGACCGGAAGTATCGGAACTCCTACTCATCTGTAAAAAATTAGTATTGGTGCAACTCTAATATCTATCTATTGAAGAGAGAGGGTTGTGTGGCGTGTCCCTCCCTGTGCAGTTAACCACTTCATTACTACGCACATCCAAAGTGTGAACCTTTAATCACAAGCTGAGGGCTGCACTA